TTCTGGGTGGCTTACACGCCTTGTGACTCGCAGTACCTGAATTCCGTGCAGCTGACCCTAGAACAGATCGACCTCATTAAAAGAGTCCTGAAGAAGTACAATCAATACCTAGAACTCGTTACCAAATCCGAAGGTAAGTTTAGGATGAAGCATAAGAAGGAGGAGGGGGGGGAGGGGGAGGGGGAGGGGGGATCTCAGCACGTGAAAATTGCTGGGTAGATGGAGGTAGTGTGGAGAGAGGAAGGGATGGAAGGAGGGAAAGAGAGGGGAGGAGAGGGAAGGAGGGGAAGGAGGAGGAGCAGAGTGAAGGAGAGAGGGAAAGAGAGGGGAGGAGAGGGAAGGAGGGAGGGAAAGAGAGGGGAGGAGAGGGAAGGAGGGGAAGGAGGAGGAGGAGAGTGAAGGAAGAGGGAAAGAGAGGGGAGGAGAGGGAAGGAGGGAAAGCAGGAGGAGGAGAGTGAAGGAGGGAGGGAAAGAGAGGGGAGGAGAGGGAAGGAGGGGAAGGAGGAGGAGGAGAGTGAAGGAGTGAGGGAAAGAGAGGGAAGGAGGGGAAGGAGGAGGAGGAGAGTGAAAGAGGGAGGAGGGAAAAAGGGAAGAGATGAGAGGAGTAGGGAGATAAGGAGACCGCAGGAGAGGAGACGGATGGGGGGGGGGGGAAAAGAGTGGAGGAGAAGGGGATATAAAGGAGTAGAAGGAAAACGAGGGGTTGAGAGAGAAGGAAAGAGGAGGAAAGGCAGGGAGAGGGAATGGGAGGGAAGGATAGGGAGAAGGGAAGTGAGGAGAAAAGCAGGATAGGAAGGGGAATGAACAGGAGGAGAGAGAAGGGAAGGAAGGAAGGGGAAGAGAGGAATGAGAAATAGCTCGAATGGGTGACGGTAAATAGGAGGCAGCAAGGGGAGGGGGGAGTTTGAGCGCATGGAGGGGAGGGGAGGGGAGGGGAGGGGAGAGGAGGGAAGGGGAGGGGAGGGAAGGGGAGGGAAGGGGAGGGGAGAGGAGGGGAGGGGATGGGTGTGTGGGAGCGGGAATGTATGGAGGTGTGGGAAGGGGGAGGGGGTGGGGGAGCGATTCCCTTTTCCCTCGAGCATTATGATGAGGCGAACCGAACTTCGTTTGTGTCCAGTAATGATGTTAATCCATCACCTGGAGACGCTTTAGAAAAGAGTTTTGAGAGAGTGTGGGAGAGGGAGAAGAGGAGAGGGGGGGGAGGAGACACAGTGAGGGAGAAAGGGTCGAATGAGGGAGAAAGGGACGAGTGAGGGAGATTTAACGCCACTCATTAAAGACAAGATTGATTATCGAATATATATTCCATTACGAAGTGTAACAAAGGGGCATGTACATCGTCATAGGGCAAGGAAATCGTTTTATTGCGTGCATGTGTGTGTGTGTGTGTGTGTGTGTGTGTGTGTGTGTGTGTGTGTGTGTGTGTGTGTGTGTGTGTGTGTGTGTGTGTGTGTGTGTGTGTGTGTAATCATACATGTATATGTACGTAAGAGGTGAATGACTATAATCTTTCCAACGTTACATCCAGCCAACAGATGGTAGCACTTACGAAATATAGGTTTTAAAACTGTGCAGCTGGTACGTAAGTTGCAATGAGAAAAAGACTCATTGCAATCGCATGTTGAATAGACGCCCAAGTTAAGCACTCGTTGGTGTGTTTTTAAGCCGTGCGCCATAATAGAAATTTTGACGCCTTGAAAACAAAGGGACGGAATTTCCCCACAACTTTAGACCGAGATTATGATTCGAGATCGGAGTCCGTTCAGAGGGTAGTACTATATCTAAGTTAATAGAAGTATGAATTATTAATACTGTGAGTAACTAGATAGATAGACGGATGGATAAACGAATCCGTGTGGAACCCAAACTTAGGCAGTGAAACATGCCTCAATTTTCTTGTTATTGACTTGAATTTCCCTGAACTTCATCATTAACTCAGAGCGCTCCATAATTACAGTCTTTGAAATAACAATTTAAAGAGTTTGGAAACACAAGCAAAGCAATTTGCCGCACCGTGACAACACTAGGCCCCCCGCCACCTCGCCCAAACCACCGTGGAAACAATTGCAAACACTTGCATCTCGAAACTATCCAAGGACAACTGTCTCGCAACTTCCGCCTTCTTTCCCTAAGATGACGGAGGACGCTCACGGACAGATGTGACAGGTGGAAAAGCGGAGAGGATTGTCAAGGCGAGGAGACGAAGAGCGGGGTTTTGCCTCGAAAATCGTGCTTTTCTCTGTATATGAGGAAGAAGTTTGACTTCTTACCCAAATAAGATAACCAGAGAATTATCGCGTTTCATTTGCGTGACACGCCTCGTCTAGATACGATTATTTTTCATCCCATTCAACGCTCGTATTTGTCAGCATTATTTTCCCCGAGGCGACCGCGCCTTCCGAGAAATCAATCATCCTCCCAACGCCAGGAAATATGCAAATCGATACACGAGGTATTTTGTGAGCGGGAGAGAGGACTTGCCTCGTCACGTACTCAGTGC